TATCCTTCCTTCCTTCTCTTTCTTTTCTGGGCTTTGGCTTTGCAATCTTTCTACGGTAGTATTAGTATAATGAAAGTAATTTTTTTTCTCAAAAAAAAGTAATGAAAGTAATTTGGCTTGTTCGCAACAAGGTTTGAAATGATCGTGTTTGTACTCGATAATGACACCAAGAGAATAACAGGCACTACATTATATACCGCGCCGATTTTTGTTTGAAATCATCAGTGGTATCACTAGAATAGAATAATTGATACGTACTACATACATTGTATTTGTATCTTACTTTCATTTCAGAACGAGCGACGGTCTTATTACCCGAGTGGACAGTCTGTGTGCTAGAGTTCTCAAGGGAAGATATATACTTTCATGATTCCAACTTCCTAAGACAGCTTAGGGAAGAAGCATGCTAGTCACACATGGAGATCATATCAATCATGGCTGGGAAAGAAGTGCTTGCTCAGGGACTGATCAAGAGAATAGGAAATGGGGTGTCGCCGAATATCTGGCAAGATAGATGGATCCCGGTGCACTTCAATGCCAGGCCGATTACACCAAGTGAGGGGCAAGAGGTAACTATGGTGTAGGATCTTATGCTAGACTAGCTCGGGGCAGTGGAATGAAGAACTTATAAATGTCATATTCCTTCCAATTGATGCGATGGCTATCCTCCGCATTCCACTACGGTCACAAGAGGAGGATTGGTGGGCGTGGAAGCCAGAGAAATTTGGGGATTACACAGTGAAGTCGGCATACAGAAAACTCCATGGGGCTAGTATGGATCATGCTGGACTGGTGCCTGGAGTGTCCAGTGATGCTTCGTGGAGTAAGTTGTGGAAACTTAATGTCCCGCCAAAAGTTTCTGTCTGCCAAAGGTATTCTCAACCGCCGTCATATTGAGCCGACCGGTTTCTGTGATGTGTGTGGAGCAGACAGAGAATCAATCAAGCATGTCCTTACTGAATGCACTGTTGCTGATGGGTGTCAAGTTTCCTCGGCTCCACCCGCTTACTTGGGCAAGTGATATACTGTCAGAAGGTTTTTGCTCTGAAAAGGACCGGTGCCTCTTCATAACCGGGATGTATTCGTTATGGTTGCAAAGGAATGGACGCCGCCATGGTGGAGACCAACCATCGCTATAGCAGGCTGTGCGCTGGGCTGTTGATACTGCGCACGATCTATGGCAGATCACAGGGGCACCAAAACTGAAGCCGTCAGCTGCAACACGAATGCATTGGCGTGCACCACAAGGGGATTGGATCAAATGCAACACAGATGGCGCATTCTACCCAGATTCTGGACAGGGAGCAACTGGTGCAGTCCTTCGGGATCAAGCCGGAACTTTTGTGGGTGGCAGGGCACGTTGGCATCGCTATGGTCTTGACGCATTGATGATAAAGGCCTTAGCCTGTAAAGATGGAGTGTCTCTTGCAAAGGAACGAGGTATCAGGAATCTAGTAGTCGAGACAGATAGCCAAGAGCTAGTGAAGATGTGGGAGTCGATGGATGTCCAGAGAGCTTGCATTTCGCCGATCTTGAGGGATATTAGAGCTTTTAGTGCTGGTTTTATTAATTTTTCACTAGTGTACACCAATTGGTCATGTAATCAAGTAGCTCATGTCTTGGCTAGGCAAGTCTCAGCTGATAGCAGGATGGGAGAGTGGCAATCAGCCCCAGCCTGTATTCTCAATATGTTGACTAAAGATTGTAATCCTAAAATTATATAATCAATAGAAGCTGTTTGTCACAAAAAAAAAACGAGCGACGGTCTTGTCCTCTGGGTAATCTGCACTCCCCAAAACCGGACGGCGTTTTATTGAATTCATTCAAGTAGAACGTCTTGTTCTACTTCATCACCAAAATTACTCAAGTAACAAAAAAGTAATCACTCCGATCCATTCCAAATTATAAGATGTTTTAACTTTTCTAAATATATTGCTTTAACTATATATCTAGGCGAATTTTATTACAGCGCGCGCGTACAGTTTTAGTGCTATTCAACTGCGCATTCCTTATTTGGCAAAATTGTTCCCGCTTTTCCTTTTTCGACAGGACATTACCATCCTTTTTTCGGCAGGACATTACCGTTTGCTTTTTGGTAGCAGAGGATTTAGAGTGCCCCCCCCCCCCCCCAATATTTTATTTTTTATTTTTATTTTATTTTATTGAGAAAGGGGGGCTAGATTTTATTATTACTGAACTGTACACCTTAGGTCTTACGAACAAGTCCCTGGTAAAACATGATTTTACAATAACAAGCACAAACACAGAGGACTCTATCCTCTGGATCGATCCAGAAAGGATCAACACAGCATCGACGCACCTCGCCAGAGAAAGAGCAACTCCATCCACCTTCAATCCGATGACAACATCTCCTCTGAAGAAGACACCCGAGTCATCGTTTAAACACCGCATGAGACAGCACCTCCAGTAGAGACACATTAAATCCATTGAACGCACATCGGCCATCACCATGCTGAAACTGGAGGAGAACAAATCCGGCGCCCACACCTCCAACGAAAGAGGAAATAGCCCGGAGAACCCAAAATTGGGGAGTGCACACACATCCAACCCAAAGAAAAGGAAGCTAGGATTGTAAGTTAATGAACACCACTAAGGAGAAGGATTTCGGTGTCAATGATGTACCGAACCATGACCCTGAGCATCCAAAATCCAACAGGGTAAAAGCAAGACTTCAACCTGAACACATACAAGTGGACTAAAGTGTACCTTACTCTTGATCCACTGGAGGAATAAAGTCTGGTACCATTGAGGAAGAACAGGAGAGAGCAGAACCCATGCCAAAAATCTGCCATGGGGAAACTTAAACTAAGCTAATACTAGCTAGTATTCATAGATCCACCGTCGACTGATGGGTCCCCTCCCCTTCCTGCGCCAATGAGGCAGCCGGAGGCGAGGGGGCCGATGAAATCGGCGCAGAGACGAAGACCCTTGCAGTCGCCGCTCAACCGACGCGTGTCTAGCCCCCCCAATAGTTTTGCTGCCAAAAGTGGGCCGTGGGGAGGCCCACACCTTTTGAACGCTACAACCTCCTAATTTACCATATTTGACAAAATTGTTTTTTTATGCAAATTATCTAGAAAAGTCAAAATATCTTATAACTTGAACCAGATGGAGCATAATATACTAGGGGAGCAGTGTCCCCAAAACCACTCATAATTAGTCGATATTAGCAACTATTAGGCCATCCGTGTTCTTATATGTTGAGTAATACTATATCATTTTCAGAACAAATTTTTCTTAGGTATATGCAAACAGTGGCGGAGGGAGGGAGGGGCTGTGGGGGGCCTGGCACCCCGAAACATGCTGGTGCCTCCACAATGCTCCCTCCTTATTTAGCTAGTTAATCATTCAATTATTAAGGTAATGATGCTAATTAGTGCTTTAATTACTTGTTCTTTTCCGTAATAACCTAGGATTAGCATTTCTATTGTCTTTTTTATTTCTTTTGTTCTCCCTACATGGTACGATTATATAGCTAGTTAACAAATATAATTAGTGTTTTGCTTGTTTGTTCTCCCTTCATATTGATCTCCATTGGCATCTATATTATTTAGGACAGTCTTTATGTGTCTTTTCTATCTACTTTGTTTCTATTATTACTGTGATATTTTTTTTGCCTAAGAATTAGATTGATCAAGTGGAAGTTAGAGATCTAGTGCTAATTAAATTTTGTTTTATTTTTCTTTGTAATATTCACCTTTTTTTAGCTTTTATGTATATCGTAAAATAAACTTTTATTTGGATATTATCTATGCTATTATTGTATATGCATTTTATCACATATGATTGTTGTGGGCTGGCACCCCCTATGCTCAAATCTTGGCTCCGCCCCTATATGCAAATATTTGCTTGGAGGAAACTTCATAATACTTATCAAATAATTCATATTATGACAAAGAATGTTTAACCTGACTTTTCAACCATCCAATTAAATAAATATATTTACAATAAACAGGCTTATCACATATAATAGTTATTAATACAATAGACAAGCTTATCACACAGCACAAACAAAAACTGTGCGTGCGTGTATGTGTGGCAATGCTTGTGTTTTCTCCAATAAGGCCATAACGAATCTTTTCAAAATTATGGGTCAGATCGATAGGCAGAGTAAAGTTAGTGACATGTCAGAACAAAAATGTGGAATGGCTGGTGGAAAATTCTTTTTATTACCGTGAGTACTCTGAGCCCGTTACTGGACTACCTTTTGCAAAGCCTATTGTGCTTATAGATGGAGGATGAAGATTCTCACTAACCAAGATCCTAATTAACTGCTATTTGGACTAAAAGTGATTCGGCCACTGTGCCGGGCACAGGATACTATACAGTCAGGTCAATGAATTCGCAGTCAATTGTACATATAAATTATATTCTATTTCCAAACAATTCTAAGTGGCCTATTAGCTCAGTTGGTTAGAGCGTCGTGCTAATAACGCGAAGGTCGCAGGTTCGAGACCTGCATGGGCCAAATTTTTAATATTTTATTTTATTTTTCCTTTCTTTTCCAAAAAGTTTTTTTTGGCTCAATTTCAATTCCTTTTTCCAGAAAAGACAACTTTTTTATTTTTTCCTTTCTTTTCCAGAAAGTTTTTTTTTGCTCAATTTCAATTCCTTTTTCCAGAAAAGGTAACTTGGCCAATCACATAGCTTTCTTCCTTATGAGAACTCTGACAAACAAATTCTTGGTGATTGAATGTGTTATTTTGTTTTCTTTTTTCTTACACTGAACATCACAGCAAAACACCAAGTATTCAAGTTTCTGAACGGATCACAAACGCACTCTGTAGTTTTCACTCACTTACGAGCTCCTGCTCTGTTTTCCATAATAAACTTATTCCCGCTTTTCCTCTTTCTTTATTTTTCTTAATAATTCTCAAGTTACAAGAATGTCTGCTTAGACAGGAAAATGGTTACAAGACAAGATATACACACCTCTCGGCACTTTCTGCTTAACTCTGCTCCTGGACTGTGGCTACTTTTCAGCTGCTGCTGCTGCTGCCGCCGCCTGCAAACACCATTCCAACGGTTGCTGAAATGCTTCTCTTGTCTTCGCTGCTCATGCAGCACAGGTTTCTGGCTCCAATGGAATAGAAAACCAGGGCGCCAAATAGCACAGATGCGACAGGAACCGTCAGATTGTCGTCAAGGCGTGTGCTGATAGGGAGTGACTCCACAGCTGCTGCAACCAGGGATATGACACCAAAGGCAGCCACCATAGTCCAGCTCTTGTCAACAAACCCGAAAATGTGGAAGTAGCACATGTACCTGGTTTCATGTGCACACATCACATACATAGCAGTTTCAGGTTCAGGTTATAGGCGCAGTCTTCAGGTTTGAGCAGAAATGTAGGGATTGGAAAAGGTACCGGATAGATTGTTTACTTACAGGATTGATGCAATGAAACCTGCCAAGAACATGGCGATGCTTCCGGCATATGATTTTTCAGGGTTGTGAGGGAGCTTCACACGCCCAAATCGTCTCCCAAATATGTCAGCAACACCTGAAAGAAACAGTGTGCTGGATTCAGGCTTCACCTGAAGAAAACAAAGAGGGAGTTGTGGCTACAGAACAACCTCTTCTGCTACTAACAGGCACAGATTGTAATTGTAATAACAGAAAGAAGCAGAGCTACTAATACCGTCTCCCGCACACAAATTGCAGATCACCGCGATTGAGATGGGTGATGTCCTCCAGAAAACTATTGTTGTCAGAGTTATAGCACAGGCATAATACAAAGGGCCCTTGAGAAGTTCTCTGGAGTCAATCAAGAGGTAAAAGATTGGAACAGTTAATACCTCATCATGTCTGACAAAAAAAAAACACTTTTTGTTTGAACAAGAAATATATATTTGATCACTGCAAATTATACCTGCAGTCTCCATGCCTGGTCATCGAGTTAACCACACCTTCATCTGTCACCAAATCAAGTCCAATCACTGTCACCTTTATGATGTTGATGATGAGGATAAACGGAGCAAGAAATGGAGCAAACACATCATCTGAGCTGAAAACGAAATAAGCAAGCAAAGGAATTATTTGCAGTAGGGTAGATAGGCTACGACCGGAAGAAGAGGAACTTTGTTGGTGGCCTAAATTTTACTTTACCTGAACAAAGGCCACATAAGGAAGTACACTAATCCCACAGTTATGTGAACCAGTTTCCTGCAGAGTTTCTAGATGCACAGAAAAAGTCATACAGAGACCAATCAATAAAATTCATTCATCTTAAAGGAGAAAGAAAAGTCAATAAGCTTAGTAAGTAAGTAACTAATTGCATATCTAAGTTTTCATTATTCAGGTTTCAGAATATGATTAGTAAAGCTGCAGGCTGCAGTACTAGAGTTTGGTGGTTGACTTTGAGTGTGGGGTTCAGGCCAGCTTGAAACGAATTGGGGCCACACAAGTTGGATCACAACTCGAATGTACTGATAGCACAAGCAGTAGAAAACCAAATTACGGAGCACAGAAATGATTTGCGTCTTGAGACAAGCTCGCAACCACAAGTTATTTACTATCTCCGAAAGGAAAAGGTTCGTGTAACCGAGTTATTATATAGCAGGTGTGCGGAAGGAGAAGCAAGGGGCAAGCAGAGGGGGTGAGGCGGCGTGACCTGCTCCAGCAGCGCGCGGTTGGCGACCTCTTCCCAGAAGCGGAGCACGACAGCCGCGGCCACTCCGGTGAGCATGGCGGCGCCGGCGTCCCGGAGCAGCGGGCTATCCGTCCACATGGTCTCGACTCGCGACTCGCGAGCGGAGGTGCACAGCTAACTGTCAGTCTGTCACTGGTCCTGCTGCTTGACTGGATGGATTATGTATATTGTGGATCTGTTCCGCGCCTGACACCAGTGCAGAAGGCCGGGGACGGGGAGAGAGCCGGAGAGCCGGAGAGCCGAGAGGGATGCTGCAGCTCAGCCCGTCTCCCTTTCATCTGTTTTATTACAACTCCACATGGAAATATTTTGTTTTACTCTGTCGTTCTCGCTTCTTGAGAAATTAAATGTAGTCAATTGTATCATTAGATAGATCATATCTATTTTCATCATAAACTTATTTAGAGTTACAAATATTACTAATATTTTTTCTATAAATCTAGTTAAATTTAAAAAAAAGATTGACCAACACAAATACATAGCTACACTTAAAAAGGGGACGGAAGTCAACGGGTATCTAGGCGAGTTGGTTAGGTGGCTCTAATAGCATTCCTCATGAGCGCGAGTGATCCTTAGGATAAGGTTAAAAAAAAAATCTCTCGTCGTCTCGCTCACGCTAAAGCGGGCTCAGTTCTTACATAGGCTGCTGCGGTGCCAAAGCAAAGGCTAAGAGCCGGCTCCGTTTTTATATGGGCTACGATGATACCGTTATGTATGGATAATGCAGGGGTCCGAAAAAGTTTTTTTAAAGAAAAGGGCGGACAGAAAGTTCACTGCCTGATCCCTGAGCTGTGGACTGAGCCAGAATACTCAATTGATGTCTGAGAGCTGTACTCTTTGCTACTCGCCTACTCTTAGTAAGTAATCTCACTACTGGATTCCACTCGGCAAAGAAAAGCGACCGTCACGGCGTCGGTCCCGTTGACGGTCACTTTGCCGAGTGCGTCAACCGTGCAAGCACTCGGCAAAGATTTTTTTATTTTTTAAAAATTTTTTGCGAGTGCCAACCCGTGAGGCTTCGGCAAATTTTTTTTAAATTTCTTTTCGAGTTTGAGGCATTTCGGCAAAGGGCTTTTATTTTATTTTTTTTGAAATTTTTTTTTGCGGCGCCAACCCTCCGAGCACTTTCGGCAAAGATTTTTTTTTTTTAAAAATTCTTTTTTTCACACTCGGCAAAGAGCTTTTTTTTTTTGAAATTTTCTTTTTTTTGAGTGCCAACCCTCAGTACTCGGCAAAGATTTTTTTATTTTTTAAATTCTTTGCCGAAGATTTGAAGGCACTCGGCAAAGAGCTTTTATTTTTTTTTGAAAATTTTCTTTGCCGAGTGCCACCCCTCTAGACACTCGGTAAAGATTTTTTTTTTAAACTCTTTGCTCAGTGCCAACACGGCAGGCACTCGGCAAAGTTTAATTTTTTTTTTTAAAATTTCTTTGCCGAGTGTTATAGTCACAGCACTCGGCAAAGCTGAAAAATCTGGTTTCTGGTCGCCCATTTTGCCAGCTTTGCCGAGTGTTGTGACCATTGCACTCGGCAAAGACGTCCTTTGCCGAGTGCAACACTCGGCAAAGTGACCAAAAACGGCAATTTTTTTTTGCATTCCATCATGACAAATACATTCATACAAACATATATCTCATCCATCACATATATATCTCATCCATCCACCCATATCACATCCATTACAATATATAATAATAAGTGCTCAAGTCCATCCAAATAAGTTTACAAGTCCATCAAAGTCCACAAGTGCATCACAAGTATATCACAAGTCCATCACCAAGTGAATAACAAATGTAAAAAATACAACATGCACTCATCTCAAACATCGCGATTGTGGTGAAGGTGGATGCATCATTCAGTGAGGTGCGAAGCTGGATTATTGAACCACCGTCGGTGGAGACTGCACTAAAGGAGAAAAGATTGCATGGGAGACAAGATTATTTTGATATCTAATCTAGGACGATAGAGGCCATACAAGCAAAGCACAAGCGAAAGTAAAAACTTTGATACTCACAGAGAGTAGCTGCTGCATTTGCAGGGGCGGAGGCGGAGGTGGAACCAACAGCCCAGTGGTAGAGACAAGCCTATCGTTGCCCAAGCCCTTGTAGGAAATCCGTAATGTCCATCGACCTCTGCGCTGGGCTGCCGCTCGACCCTTTCGGCCTCCAAGCTTTTGCTCCCGACGTTCCTTCATTTCTTGTTCCGGTTGGACTGCAATATTTCACTCCAATGTTTGATAATGCAAAGCTAATTAAGGTGTGTAAAGATCAATGTATGACGAGTAAAACAGAATAACCTCGAGTCGTCGACCCGGTCTTGTCAGGCATGATGATGGCGAATGGCGGGGCTCGCTCGTGTTCCGTGCTTTCGGATGGGAGAGAGAGGGAGTAGAGGTCGTGTCGATGACGCCTTGCGTCGCCAAGCCGAAACCGCCCATGCTTCTTTCCTTGCCCCGCCCTCATGACGGCCTCTCCATCGAAGTCCTAGGTGCTCGGATCATGGTATGCCCCATGGGCGACCTCGCCACCTCGGTGTACTCACTCGATGCGGGAGTGGGACTTTCGGGTTCGTGTATGCCTCGGCGGGTCCTCCGAGTTGAAGGAGGCGTCGGACGTCGCCTTACCCTTGTGGGCCATACACCATGCTTGAAAGTCGAGAGCAAGCACAGCCACTATGTGACGCCGACTACGAGAAAGACAGCACGATGATTAGAAATCAAACAGAACTGAGCGTGACAATAGATAAATCAATTCGCGTACCCATGCTTGTTTGTATCCGGTGAGGTTTGCGGCTGCCTTGATGGTGTGTTTGGACCTTGCATCGAGAAGCGACGGTCCCGTGCATCCTGTGCATCTTGAGGTACTCCTCCGTGAACCACATTGGCCCACCATCATCGCCCAACACTCGGGATAAGCTTGGCACCACCAGGAATCACCTACACATCATCAAGTATTGGACATATAAGAAGATCAAATTAAACCAACAATCTCAAATCGAATCAATATTGATGTTCTTCATTTACCTCAAAGTCTTGCTCCCGGTCAATTGCATCTCTCTTGCGTCTTTCTTGGTTTCTCTCTCCAAGCTTCGACCCGTAGTAGGTTACGATGCTGGATGCGCTACCGTGATGCATGTCGGTGATGAGTTTTTACGAGCTTTGGTAAGCTTTGCTCCACCCCGGCCTCAAATCCCTCCCTCGCATCGTAATAAGTGCGCATACAAAAGCGATGTATCGATTCATTATTTCAAGAAAAGTCCAATGAATGCGACGTATTGAGCAATGTTGTGCAAGGGAGACTTACCCAAAGCTGTGCTTCTTCACCCGCGCCGCCTTGTTGGGGTACTCCGCGCCGGAGGTGACGGCGTAGTGGTCAAGCGAGTAGGCGGCTCCATCTTCGATCGCGACGTGACAATGCCGGGAAGTCTTTTGCTGCATGAAGACCCAAGATGCCGTTGACTAGCCGTGCGCTACCACCCGACACAACCACCCAGTTCCTGCACAAGTAATTAAGAAAAATTATTAGTTTTTTTCATCGTATCATATGAAGTAGTGGTGATAACATATACAGTTACTTCCTTTTGTCCTTCGGGGTGAATCACTGGGCGTTGGTGAGGAAGCGGAACCTGTGGGAGGCTCGCGGGACCTCGCAAGTAGACACTCGAAGAGGAGTTGGAGGAAGCGGAACTGAGCCGCCACCCCCCCTCCTCCTCCTCCTCCTCCTCCTCCTCCTCCTCCTCCTCCTCCGTCTGCCGAACCAACTCCTCGTCTGACTTGTCCATGGGTGCCACCTCCTCCTGCGGCTGGCGGTCCTCCTCACGTGGCATGGGAGGAGACGGCCCCCTCCTGCGGCTAGCGGTCCTCCTCCTTCTATTCGATCCCTCTGCCACCCCCTCCGCCCCTCCTATGACCGGCGTGGTCTTTGGTAAATCGAGTTCACAGACCTATGATGGTCGCCCGCCATCTTTGTTCAATCACCTGCAATAAAAAAGAAAAACAAGACGTAATTAGAAATAGGTGCAAAAATAAACAAAACATAATTACAAAAAACATAGTATTACATGTATTAGAAATATATGCAAAAATGAACAAAACATAATTACAAAAAATATAATATTACATGTATTAGAAATAATCTTCATGATTGAAATTAATTTGGATCATAGGTCTCGTCATCACTATCAACATTGTCCAACTCATCAACACTATCCAGAAGGAGGAATGTTGTCTTCATTGTCATTGCCGAAATGTAATCGCTCAAGCATTTGTATGTCCTTCAGATTTCGCACCTCGTCTCCAGCGTCCTCGTCATCATCCCTTTCATTATCTACTTCCATTCCTATCTCTTCGGTTAAGTCTATGTCAAACCTCCCTTGTAGCCCATCTTCTTGATAGAACTCTCCATCATATGTGTTTGGGTTGAAGTTGTAATCTTTATCGTTTGGGACAGGTAGTTTACCGTGTGGCGATACCTTATGCACAATAGACCAACCCTTAAGATGCTCTGCGTCTTTGCACGCGTATGACGTATAATAAACCTGGACGACCTATTGAGACACAATGTAGACATCTTTTCCTGGATAGACGGAATCTTGTCGAATCTCGACTAGCCCAAGCTTAGGGGTCTATCTCGTTACACCAGGATGAAACCAGTGGCATTTGAATATGACAGGAGTAAGAGGTTTGGAACCATAAAATGATAGTTCATAGATTTCTTCAATTCTTCCATAATAGTCGAGTCCATCAGTGCCGGGCGTAACAACTCCGCTGTTTGTGGTTTGTCGATTGGGCCAACTATGCTTGTAGCTTGCTGTGTGAAAATGATATACATTCACGTCATAACCGGTAAATGACTTGACCCTAACGGCACAGCCATTTGCAACCTGTCTTAACTCATCACTTATAGGCACATCAGTTTGGGCTTTCTGTTTGAACCAACAAATGAAATCGGGGCTCCCTAGTCCCGCACCCCGTGAAAGAAGGGTATCATTTTCTTGCGGGGTAGGTTGCCTTGATCCATGCCAGGATTGACGAAGAAATTCCCTGTACCAACGAGAAACAAGGGGGTTGGACGACGAAA